TCACATTTTTGGCCTGACAGGTTTCAGTTTTTGTAGACCCTGTTCCTAATGAAATTAGCCTATTTCCAGCATATTCTTTAAAGATTTTGTTTTAATATTGATTAGAGAGAGAGAGAGAGAGGGAGACACAGAATCCGAAGCAGGCTCCGGGCTGTCAGCACAGGGCTCCACTCGGGCCTCGAACTCACGGACCGCGAGATCGTGACCTGAGCGGAAGTCGGACGCTTAACCGACTGAGCCACCCAGGCGCCCCCGGCATATTCTTGTGGTTCATGGTTCTTGTAGCACTAATAATCCCTTTTCAGTGTTACTTGTTTGATGACAATCATTCCCAGTGGACTCCAGCGAGCATTTGTTGATTTGACTGCAAAAATGCCAACCATGTAATGACCCAAGAAACACCCATGTTTGAAACCAGCAGCTTGCGATCCACCACGTTTGGATTTAGACTCTTAGCTGCAAATACATTTCATCAGCTTATGATATGATTTCCACCCTTACCAGTCTCGTGGGTGGGACGCGTTGGAGCCGTGGGGAGGTCCCTACCCAACAGCGATTGCGTTTCACTGTAGTTTTTCTCAAGACTCCCTGTCCCAGTACTAAAGTTTTCAGGGAATATTTTTGGAATCTCTTCACTTTCAAGTGATTCCTTTACAGTTTCTTCCAGGGAACTAAAGAGAACGTTTACTTAGGAAATGCTTTTAGTGATTCCTCCTAAATGTAGAAGGGGGAAATTGTGGCAAAGAGCACTTCCTCCCTCCAAGGCCCGGCACCAAGCAAGCAACTGGAGACCCTTGCGGGCTGTCTCTTATTTCAGTCCACTGTTGCTGATTCTTGACTTCCTTTGTCTTTGAGAGAGACACATGGGTGCCTATCTCATAGATACACATTCAACTTTACATCCTGAAGACACGGCTTTTCTTTTTTTTTACCAGCATCCACTGGACATTTCTAAAGATTACTCATATATTATAGCACAAAATAAAATGCCAATTAATTCGTCAAAGCAGAAACCCAATGGATATTTTTTGACCACGACGCACACACACACACACACAAGCTAAGAGAAAATCAAAACTGTAATTACAGAGTATTAGAAATGAATGAAAATGGGAACACTTCCATATGGTCAAAGCTGAACTCAGAGGAAAAGTCATAACCTTGGATGATTTCTTTTTACCTTAGTAAGAATGAAAGTAAATAAACTAAGCAAATGGTTTTCAAGCAGCTGGTTTAAAAGGAGAAGATAGAAAAGAAAGATATTGTCATGTACAAAAACAGTCAGAGTCAGGTGTAACCTGAGAACCTGAGTTAATGAGGTCAGTGGAGAAAATCTAAAGATGACCCACCATTTTTCTTGGAAATAGGTACTCTACTTTTCCAGGTGTATTTTCAGGATTTCAGCACATCCTGAGTTCCATGAAGACATGGAA